CCAGCTATCCAGTGCGTTGTGATTGGTCGAATACCTCAAGCGTGTGACGGAAATGTTACGCCCTTACTATACTGTGATGCCCTGTCCGGCCGGAGCGATGATTCAAAAACATGAAAACCCATTACAAACAAGGCATTTGTTGCATCCAGTGGGGACATAATTACGGATTATAATGACTTACACTGTCTTTTTACGCGTTGCGTTGCATCGCGCGGCGTTAACATAAAACCATGTCTGCATTTGTGTTCGGAGAAATGACAAACAAGTGCTACTCTACACTGCTCAAAACCGTACGGCGGGCTTGCGGCAACCACATGTGACGACCCCGGGCTGGACTCCGCTTCGTCCACGGTGAAAGCCGATCTGGCGATCCACACCGCGAAGTTGATGTATTTCCTCAGCGACCAGCACGGATCAGCTCTAGGCATGACGAAGCGGATATCGTCCTCTTTTGGAAGGCCAAACAAAGTAGTTTTGCTTTCACAACGAAACACACAGCGCCTTCATGACATGGTGGCAGCAACAATACTACAGCGAGAATAAAAGTTCCGCCTTCCTTCTTTGCGTGAACTTTTGGCGTTATGCAAATCTTCCCACATCGTGACGTAGACATGTGGGGAGTGTTAGAACGAGCCGTTTTAGGTAGGCGTGGTTGACTCTTAACTTTTATAAAAAATATCTCTTTGGATTTGAGACTTTAGTCTTTGCAACTTTACAGATCTTCTTTATGCACCAAGAGCTTTCACTACTTCAAAGAGAAAGGAAAAATTGAAATTGCATCATATGACATTTATGTCTATAATCTAATACATTTTGGCTGCTTTTGTAAACCGAATTAATCATTAAAGTCATGTTTGCATCTATTTTTTTGTAAAGTTATGTACAGTAATTAACAGCAATGTGTTTGTCATTTAATTGTATTCCATTAGCTTAATTTGGACACGCCATATTTGACCTTTATATTTTACCTCATGTGTTTCTTTACAGGTATGTTTGGCTTTTTTTTGAGTCCATATGTTATGTTTATGTAAATATATAATAAAAGAACTATAAATAACCTTTATCTTTGTTTAGCTCATTATGCAGCTCATTATGCAGGCCTTTGTCTTCTCAGGTGTGAATCACTCATTATACATGACCATTCACGCCCCCTCGCATATTCCTTTTCTACACAAAAAGTGTCTTAGAAAATTTAAATCAATATATTGTTTTCTGTGAGTGAGTAAACAAGATGATTTTCACATCATTCTGATGCAAAAACTCTAGACTTCAAGATCTGTTCTCAATAGTCTTGTGAACAAATGTTCTGTATGTGTTTTATGGCCTTATTTCAGTGACTTTAAAACTTTAGTTTTTCACTAAGCACGCATAGACGTTGTTTTCTCAAAAACACAATCACATACATACATGCTGCCCACATATTATTGTAGCTCAGTTTGTGCTGATTATGGTGCTACTAAACTTAGTCATTAAAATGTTTATTAGCAACTGAAAAAAGCACAAATGTCAGGACATGTCAAAACTTCTCCAGGGCCCAAAACACCCTCAGACCACAGAGGGTTAAAGTAATAAAGACTCTTACTGCATGTTTAATGTTAATGGTATTTTATTTGATGATTTGTTAATGTGTCATTGTGTCATGACTACTTTGAGGGGCCCATCATTACTAACTCGTTATTAACTACTCATAAACTAACATCAACTCATGGTTTGTTAATGCATTATTTTGCCATGACTTTACTTGAGAGGACCCATAATAATTAATTTATTATTAACTATTCATACACTAACATCTACTCATTGCTTGTTAATGCATTATTTTGACATGCCTTTACTTGAGGGCACCCAATCATAATTAATTAACTGTTAACTACTTACTAAACTAAGCTCATGATTTATTTTATACTTTCTATCAAATGCACATGTACTAACACAGTGAGTATTGAGCCCAATTAAGAGATGTGGTGTGGCTTTTCAAGAAGTCAGAGAGCGGAGGTACAGGATCATCACGGCCTACGTCTGGATGGACAGTGAACTGTACTGACACCCAGCAAACGTTCTGACCTTACCTGCATGTTTCTAGTTTGGCCATTTCTTTTGGAATCGTTCTACAAATATGCTTTGTGGGTTTTGAGTTTTTATTTATTTATTTAGCTGGATATAAGTCACAGTAGGGTGAATTTAAAGGGAAAGAGATCAAAACAAAACAGGCAAGATCAGTTATTAGTGTTAGTATTTTCTATGCTTGATGAGGAGGATCAACTAATCCTTCGCCACTCAGTAATGATTATGACAATGCTGAAGATGGCAAAAGCTCAAATTATGATATTAAATTATTTAAATTAATTTCAAAGTCAGAGTATTTCTTATTTCTTTTTAAAGAGGCTGTTTGATTTAGTTTACCCATAAATGTTAATTAATGCATTAACTATCAAACATGTACTAACATGTAGTTATGGCTGCCGTTATTCATGTGTGAATCCATATGACTCCAGTTGTAGTTAAGGATAGCTCTTCACTAGTTCATGATACACCTTTAATGATTAATTAGTATATGATGAATTAAGTATTAATTTAGGCATTAGTACATGATTATTCATGTACCCTTATTGTAAAGTGTTACCAATATATCTGTGTTGAACATCAGCTGCATAACAAAAATAATGGCATATGGGAGTAACTGTTTCTCAGTGATGGTTGCTTTGACCCATTCCTTCATACTTTCATTCTTTATTCGTTCTGTTATAGGGTTATGTCAAGATGGACCAAACAATGCGTGATAAGCTCTCACAACTGGTTGAGAAGTTGACTACCTCTGGAGAACCACAGTTAAATCAAGACAAAATGAAGGAAGTGAAGAAAATAAGTGAATAAAGTATGTTTAGTCGGTTATTGATTTATTCACACACAGTAAGTAAAAAACAACAACAACAATGTGGACCAAACTGTGAGTGATGTGAATAGATTAGAACATTCTGGAAATGATTTTTTAGCAACAGGAAAACTCTTCTTTAAGAGTTTAAGGGCATCTTTATTTGTTTAGTGAGTGTTTTTGCCCCATTGCGGTCACTGCATTAGCAAAAGGCCCATTGAACCAATTAACCCTTAGAGCCCATTGAACTTTACCTTGAAGACTTGAAGTGAACTTAACGACAACTTGAGCCAGTAACAGTCTTTTGTTTAACCATCATGCATTTTGTGCTTGCAGACGGTGAGGCAAAACAAAAAAAAAAAGATTCCGTAAATTCTGATTTCAGACAGCCATGCCATGGTCACCAAAGCTTTTGCCACCTCTGCCCAAAGTGTGCTTACGATCTCATTATCTAGTCACAGAATGAGGAAACTGGACTTACCCAGTGTTTATTGATCAATGTTGTCAGTTATGAAGCCTAATCAAAGTCCATTTCAAGTAAGCATACATCTTTATTTGCTCATGTGCCTATGTGTTTGTTTTTGTGGCTACAGAGCAGCACTGGACATATGACCTTACCAGGGGCATGTCTACGTGGTGGCCAGGGGTGGCACCGGCCCCCCCTGAAATTTGGCTAGCCACCCCAGGTGCCCCCCCTACCAAATGTCTTGCCATAGGCTTGTTTTTAGTAAATTTTTAATTTTAGGCGGTTTCTCACTCAGTAATGATTATGACAATGCTGAAGATGGCAAAAGCTCAAATTATGATATTAAATTATTTAAATTCATTTCAAAGTCAGAGTATTTCTTATTTCTTTTTAAAGAGGCTGTTTGATTTAGTTTACCCATAAATGTTAATTAATGCATTAACTATCAAACATGTACTAACATGTAGTTATGGCTGCCGTTATTCATGTGTGAATCCATATGACTCCAGTTGTAGTTAAGGATAGCTCTTCACTAGTTCATGATACACCTTTAATGATTAATTAGTATATGATGAATTAAGTATTAATTTAGGCATTAGTACATGATTATTCATGTACCCTTATTGTAAAGTGTTACCAATATATCTGTGTTGAACATCAGCTGCATAACAAAAATAATGGCATATGGGAGTAACTGTTTCTCAGTGATGGTTGCTTTGACCCATTCCTTCATACTTTCATTCTTTATTCGTTCTGTTATAGGGTTATGTCAAGATGGACCAAACAATGCGTGATAAGCTCTCACAACTGGTTGAGAAGTTGACTACCTCTGGAGAACCACAGTTAAATCAAGACAAAATGAAGGAAGTGAAGAAAATAAGTGAATAAAGTATGTTTAGTCGGTTATTGATTTATTCACACACAGTAAGTAAAAAACAACAACAACAATGTGGACCAAACTGTGAGTGATGTGAATAGATTAGAACATTCTGGAAATGATTTTATAGCAACAGGAAAACTCTTCTTTAAGAGTTTAAGGGCATCTTTATTTGTTTAGTGAGTGTTTTTGCCCCATTGCGGTCACTGCATTAGCAAAAGGCCCATTGAACCAATTAACCCCTAGAGCCCATTGAACTTTACCTTGAAGACTTGAAGTGAACTTAACGACAACTTGAGCCAGTAACAGTCTTTTGTTTAACCATCATGCATTTTGTGTCAGGGGCTGGCGTCTGGTGTTCTCCCAGGGGTGGCACCGGCCCCCCCTGAAATTTGGCTAGCCACCCCAGGTGCCCCCCCTACCAAATGTCTTGCCATAGGCTTGTTTTTAGTAAATTTTTAATTTTAGGCGGTTTCTATATTCTGATCTTAATGACAATGTCGAGAGCGCATAATGTTACGCGATCCATGTGCGCGAGGACGAATCTCTCCACTCCCAAGCGGATTTCCTTCACTCACACAAAACTGGACGTGTGCTTTTAACATACATCGTTCCGCAAACACAACCCCCCCCGGCCACCCTCTTTTGAGCCAGTGCCCCCGACTGGCCCCCCCATTTAAAATGCTCTAGACCCGCCCCTGGACCTTACACTCCTTGTTAAGTTGTATTTCTTCATTATTTTATGAGTTTCCACTGACTATGTTGATAATTTCTACAACTTGATTATGACCCAGCTGAACCAAGAGCATGCAGAGATCCGTCTCTCTGCCTTCCAAATGGTCAATGAGATTTTCAGCCGGTCGCATCATTTCAGAGGTCTTCTCATCACAAACTTTCAGGAGTTCCTGGAACTTACAGTAGAAACAGACACTGAGCAACCGTTGCCTCCACCCAAAGAGGTGGTGAGAAAACTAAGGACACTTGCCATTCAGGCTGTGCAGTCATGGCACGCCACGTATGGAGAGGCGTACAAGAAACTGTCTCTGGGATATCACTTTCTTAAGCAGATTAAAAAGGTATTTATCTGGATGCGCCTGTTCTGTGATTATAGTATTTAATGCCATCAGTCTGCACCTTGGGACAGGTCACTTGTGTTCTGTAATTATATAAAGACTAATGGAAAAGATATTGTGTTCTAGCTAAATTTAGCTGTGTAATCAAATGTGAATGAATCGAGCAATTGATAAAAAATAAATTTAAATTGTGTGTCGTATTTTCCAATATTATGTTCAAATTGTTTATTATTTACATATGATTTTTATGCACTTGATGTTATGGGCGGTTTTAATTTTGATTATAATTCGTCATTATCATAGTGAAATGTCTCCTTAAAGGGATAGTTCACCCAAACATTAAAAGTTCTCTGTCATCATTTACTCACCCTCGGGTTGTTCCAAATCTGTTTGAATTTCTTTATCTACTTAACACAAAAGAATATATTTTGAAGAATAAGGGTAACCAAATAGTTGCTGGTTTCCATTGACTTCTGTCGTATGGAAAAAATACGTATTAGTCTATTTATAGTCCTACATATTGTGGCACTAACCCCACCAAAAACAAAAGTGGCCAAAAGTGATGTTTTGATTTTTTTTTTTTATGACCCCACATTTCACTTAAACCGTTAAAATACAAAGGACAAAAAAACATTGACCAGTGTTGCCAATTGCTTTCAATTGAAAGTAGCTAAAACTGGTCACTTAATGTTGCTAGATGACCTCATAAAGGTGAGTTCATTGATCTATATTTATATTTATATAGATCAGTGAACTCACCTTTATGACGTCATGGGAGAGTTTCCAATGTAGATAATGTTTGTCCAAGAAATTGATTTTGTTGCTAGCCCTTTATTTTAGTAAGTATACTTAAGTAAAGTTCAAGTATATTTTTAAGTATACTTTATGTAGTAAGTGTACTAGTAGTATACTTGTAAGTGTACTGTTAAAAGAAGTATACTAATAGCACACTTGAATAAACTTCTTTTTCGTAAGGGAGGTTTTTGAAAAAAGTCTCTAAAGGGATGCGGAAGTCACTAAATCTAGTGTCAAAATCACTAAATTGGCAACATTGGCACATTGACTACAACATACGTTATTTACATTTCATTGGTCCTCTTGTTTTTGCATGTGTTCATAATGTCTTCGTATGATAGAATGGTCAAAAATTATGACCGCAAAATTTGGCTTGTTTCATTGCATTATTATCACAAATAAAACAACTGACTAAGCAACTATGCAATATGCTTACAAAATCTTGCAAATTTTTTTTAAATTAAGGATGAAAATATGTCAAATTTCCTAAGCCGGACATCACTTTTGGCCACTACTATATGGCAGTTTATTAAATTTTCAACTGACCGCCAAACCATACTGCAAAAACAACTTTTGTGAGAATTGTGGGCTTTCCTGGAGTTACTGGAGCCGTTGATGGAACTCATGTTCACATCATTGCTCTAACTGCAAATGAGGAGACACACCATTAAACAAAGCATTAGTAATAATTTGTGATAAATTTGCACAATGCAAAGCATTTAAAAATACATTTAAATTAAAACATTTCAGTCTTAATGAAATGATTTTATTGTTGTTACAATAAATGATTGGTGTTGTGCTGCTGTGACTTTACATGAGTAGGCTCACTATTGGCTGATTCAGAGGTCGAGGTCGGCCATTTTGTGTTGACATCATTGTAGTCCTTAGTTCACAACACTTAAGTGTCACCTCAGTCAACACTTAAGAATCAGTCTTAGACTTTACTGAAAGTTGCTTTTAGGGTCTTTATAAAAGTTTCCTACTCTTAGAAAAGTCCTACTTTTTACTAAGAATTTTTTGACACTTAAGTCAAAGCTTAAGACTATTCTTAAGAGCATTTCTGAGAAGTTTTATACATACAGGCCCAGGTCTTTTCCCATCAATGATTAATGTCAAATAAAACATAAAAAGAAGACTGTTCTCGTGAGTGCGAATCATGTTTATATTTCCACATATTCTTGATAGGACATCATCTGATTACCCATCCAATCTCTGTTTTTATATCTGAAGTCAGTCTACATTATACAGCAGAATTTCTACTTATTTTTCTATTTAGATACTGGAATTACTGCTTATTGAAAATGGGATTGAGTTATGCTCATCTTTAATTATAGTTCTCTATACTTCTTCTTAATTATAGTATTGAAAATCAGATCAGCTGACGTACAAGGCACCTACACATATTTATTAAATGCCATTGCGTTCATTCTGGAAACAGATTTATGTATTTATGAGAGCAATTTATTATTACAGGCTTGTAATATAGTATTTGTTGTACCACTTTTTGGAATTAAATCACTTTCAGCTAATAATCCTAGATATAATGCAGTATACAGCACACCTATCTCAACAATGTCTGTATAGCTTATCCTGTGTAAAGTGGCAATAATCATTACTGACATCCACAGTAACAAGTACTTTACAGACATTTTGTCCTGAAAACTTATCCTGTCTGACTGATACCTTCAAGATATCATCTTTTAGTCACTGACACCCTGTTTACATACGCAATGTGGCTACACACATGTCCCATAAGCAATCCAGTCATTTGTATGCAGAAAGTGGAACTAATTCTAAATTGCTGTGGTTAAAATGCACAGATAGAAAATATTTAAACAATTTGCATGTAAAGCTTGCGTAAATGTGAAATTCCTAGATTTGTATTGCTGTAAGAGTAAGTTTACAATAAAGTGTTTTAAGTTTTTTACAGCATGTTTAAGATTTCACAGCTCCACCAAGAATCAACATTTCCTGAGAAACTATGTTAAGCAAATACTTTATATGCTGGTTAAACACTGAGTGATAGCTCCCAGGACATATTGTAAATTAAATGAACAATATCCTGGAATAGTTAAGCTTAGATATAATACTGTAAAAATAAATCAACAGCCTAAATATTTACCTCAATAAATCAATCATTTTAATTCATAACCTCTTGACTACAAAAGCCTTGTCAGAAGTGGTTAATGAATTGCTAGAGTATTCTTTAAGACTTGGGAAGAGTAAAAGGTGGCAATACATTTACAGGATGTGGGTGAAATAGTACAGTCGTAGTTTGTTTTTAACAATCACTTTGGCGCTAATATTAGAACATTGATGTCATTATTCAAAACTCTTAGCTCAAAACTCCTAGCACTTTTTTAAGTTGCTTGGATGCAATACATTCAGTGAACTAAAATCACCTCTTCAAAATCTTATAATTTTTTTTTTTTTTTTTTTAATATCTAGAAAACACAAATAGCATTTAACAATCTTGTTTAAAAAAGAGTGACAAGTTCTTGTTCAAGTCTTGTTCTGTTTAAAAATGTAGTTAAGTGCCATTCATCCATAGTTAATAAGAAAAAGTGTGCCCATCCATTTCTATCCATGCTAAAATGCTTGTTTTGATCTCTCTTCCATTAAGAAATTACAACTGAGATTGAGGAAACCTTGACTGAGATGAACAACTGCATAAAACTGCTTGCAACCGATGACTTAAACCTGTTTAATGAGGAAGCAGCAGTTGCAAAAACCTCCGCGGGAGCTGAGAACATATCTGACCAACCCTGCTGCAGTAAATACCTGAGCAATGAGCAGAACGGAAAGATGACCGAGAAGACAAATGATGAAGGGCAACCAGACAAGTGTAGTGACGAGAGTGACACAGAGGAAGTTCCTGATGAGGACGCGTTTCTCCGCAGCACTGGTTTAATGTCTTATAGATATCAGTTGGAGCTCAATGTGTCCACAGGTGTATCTGACTGATCGTGTTCACAGCTATTCTCATGATACGTATCCTCTGTCATGTCATAGCATGGCATGGAATTTGGAGTTCAAATCGGGAAATTTTGTGAATAACCAATTTGAATCATGTCTGCAGATTTAAAATTGAGGGGGACGGAGGAGAATGAAGCAGTAGTAAACACTGTGAGGAATCTTCATAGACTCATCACAACCAGACACCTGCCTCTGGTGCAGTCCTGGATCCAGGTAAACCCTTTGACCTCTGAAAGGAATCATTCATTCCCAAATGAAAAACCTGTCATTGATTATTCAAAAATAGATGTTTAGCACAATGTCCAAGCTGCTCTTTTCCACAACAATCCATATTTGAAACTTTATATAAACCATAATCTTTTACAGTGTAAAATGTGTCTTTTACAGGTCTTTACAAAGGTGGGTGTTGAGGAAGAACTGATGAGGAGAGCCACTGAGTTAAAGAAATCACTGGAGTACGCCTTGAGAAAACACGAGTGTCTTCATATAGATTACAAAAACAGAGAAAGAAGAGTGGTGAGTTTGTTTTTTCAAACAGATGTAGGCTTACACTTTTTTTGCACTGATTTCGAGTTAACAGTAAGGAGAGTACTACATGCTCACATGCTGTTGTTTCTGTTATAACTGAGTGCTTTCTTAAATTTGAAGCATCTGTTGTGTTGTGAAGGTGAAAATGTGAGTTGACTGACAACTGTTTTTATTTTTGATGTGCTGCCTGTTCCAGGAATTTACAATGACAAATATCATGTGTGAATTTGTTTTGCGAATTGTATTCAATATATTTAACTTTTCACAGTTACATCAAAGCCAGATCGTAATGTTTCTGGTGTTGAAATCATCTTTTGTTTTTAACAATATGTTTACATAACAATAAAAAGTATATAATATTAATAGTTATAATACATTAATTTATATATCAATGAATTTCCATTGATTCATGACTGATTTTTCTGTGTTGAGTGAGTAAGGTATAGTATATACTGTATGCATAAATACAGTATGTACCATGCTGTAAGCAGTAGTGATCATCACAATAATTCAGCAGTGCAAATTCCATCTGGAATAACTTCAGAAATGTATTATCCCCAGAGGAGGGCGCTCTTTCCCCACACATTAAATACTGGAATTTTGTCAAATAGTGTGCTGGAAAATGTTTGCTTGTCAAAAGATGTCCACATATAACACATGATGAGGGTGTTGAGAATATTTGTGTAGTGTGGACATTTTTAGATTACACTGTTTATTGTATGGTCAAACTCTTAAGACGTGCATCTTTGCATCGATACTGGGAGTTTTTCTACGGGGAGGCACAGTTCATTTGCTAATGGAGATTTGCTCACTCTAGGGTGGAATGGGACACAGCAAGCAGTTAGGAGACACCCATTATGACACATGTTATCCATTTTTAACTGGATGAAAAGAACAGACAGGGTAGAGAAAAAGGAGGGGTTTGACATTGACAGAGCACTTGACTGCACGCCAGAGAGGTTTATCACTCTCAGTGACGATTTTCAATGCAAAAAGTCAGTGCTTTGTGATAAAGCAACAACTAAAAGGCCTTTATCATAATTAGTTTTTCCTTTTCCCCCTAAAAGCATTCCATTACTTTATTCCCTGTGTCATTGCTATGACATGAGTGGAATTGCTTTCAGCTTAAACTCCTACTGATTGAAGAACAGAAAAAAGTGTAAAATGACTATAATTTTTCTGTGTGCCTTTATCACATGATAATGAGTTTTAGATAATAAAAAAAAAAAAACTCCAATAGCTTGGAAATGTAAATATATTATAAGGAAAAATGAATTACTAAAGTACACCAAAATATCAGTTATTTGCATAAATAGCACACCATATTTTTCCTCATGTAAGATCCTTGTGTGGATTTGTGGCTGAGGTCTGAGGTTCCTTATGCACAAAATATGTAAGGAAAAAACATTTAAAGGTCCGGGGGAGAATATACATTATTTACTGTGATAAGGCAACTTAATGGTTTGACCTGAAGGATTGTTCTCAATAATTGAGAACAATAATATCTATTTAGTTTCTTTTTCTTTGGCAAACAAAAGATAAATATGTTATATCTAAATCTCATATACAGTGATTTAAAGTAAATAACACTTAAAAATGTATGAATGTTGTTGTGATAAATAACATTTTAAAGCATGTTTTTTTTGTGGAAGAAAGAACAATATATATCGGTCAGTATGAAGACAAAGTATATTGTGACACTTTGTGGTTGTGAAATGTGGATCATGTTGATAGTTATTGTGATCCTCTAAACCTGCGATTATACTGCTAGAAAATCTGCGTGAACTTGAAGAGAACTGACTTTGTATATCCAATAAAAATTACTTTAACAGCACCTGGTTAAAAGACCTACAGCTCCTACGGCATTTGAGATGACACTTGCTTAGATGTGCTGTGATCTAATGCAATGACAGCCGTGCATTTAACTCTGAATTAAGTGATCAAATTCATTTTGGGGGTCACTAGCTCACAGTGCGTTCTTCGACATGAAAGAACTGATACCTTTTGGTTACTCACAATTACAGTTAAATGTTGGTCAATATTTGTTTTCGGCAGATGAAACTATTTAATTAATAAATGTATTCTGAAAAACATTTACTGTAGGATTTGCTTTTTAAACAATTTGGAAAAAAATTTTTTTAACAAATGATTACAAACAAATGGCAAGTAACGCATTGAATTAAGTGTAAAATTTAGAAGCAGAAAGACTGAAATAGTATTTTATATCATACTTAAGTAATCTTTGTTTTATTACAAATTTTTTTTTTACAGTGAACCTATTCAATAAATAAGATAGATAGAAAGAAAGAAAGCGTGAATAGGGTGAATTTGGGTAAATTATAACACTTTATAACTTTTGCCATTGAGATGACTGGGAAAAATGTCTCTATCCTGAAATAACCCTGTGTGTGTGTGTGTGTTTGTATGTATGTATATGTGTGTGAGCTTTCAAATTGAGATATGACAGGAAACTTCACGGGAGTCTCTCTCCAGGCTGCCTAGAACGTGTTCTCATGACAAAACGCATTTCATTCTGTTCTGCAGACAGCTAGCCCGCTAGTCCGTACACCTGAGTTATTGGTTTGCCGTAATAATTTGCAAGACCTTCCCCGTAAGAGAGGAGATTAGCATATAAATAGCAGATGCACAGAGGACCATCACAGCTGAGTACATTTAATTTTTGGTTTATAAGATTGAATAGGTTTTTAAACGCATAGCCATCAAACTTGCCCAAAGACAAATGAAGTGTAGGGCTCAGTTGTCCGAGGCTACCTCCTCAGCTCATTTTTTAAAAGGATAACAGACCTGCTTAAGGAGTGTGCCTGGCCGACGCTTCCCTGGGCACAAAGTAATTGAGATTGCTTACAGAGTTAATTAGACCGTACAAAATATATTGGAGGGCGCGAGGAGCACTGCTGGAATGTGTTTTTCCCCATAAGTGGAGGACATTTAAACGGAAACTCATTATCTTATCCTCTCAGGGTAGAGGCCAGGGGCCACTGCATGATCAATAGAGTTCATTGCGAATGTCTGCCAGTAGTCCACTCGTGGGAGCACATCGTCTAAATATTCAACATCGCTCTTATATGTCCATGTCTTCTGATGAAACAAATCATGGAGGTTAGCGGCATGTGTCATTTTAAGTATCACTGAGATACTATCATAGTTTTCATTAATATTTTGAATTACTTTTTATTTTTTTCATATTTTCCATTTTAAGTTTCTTTTTTATACAGTTTTAGTATTTTGTTGTGTGTTTTTGATATTTTATTCTTTTTTTTCCCCTTTTAAAATATGTCTAAATATTTTCTACATAAATTTTTCAGTTTTAGTTTTACCGAGTACGTTTCCTTGGAGAATGTCTGAAATAAAATAATTTATATATATATATATTATGATATGTCAGTTAACATTTTATTTTTATTTTAAGTAACAAAAATGATTATTATTTATTTTTTTTATTTTATTAGATATTAGATTTAGTTTTTGTTATAATATCATAACCCTGGTTAGAGGGACAATATCTCAGCATTTTATAAACACAAAATGCACAAAATGAAGCGTTTTTCATTAGATTATAATTACTAATACACATTTAATAAAATAAAATTAGAAGATTATTAGTAGATAATTGTCTTATCATTTTAATTAATTTAAATGTTTATACTCATTTTTATTATTTAGAAATTAATCTAATATAAATGTTCATATTACATAAATATATAACTTATTAAAATGACTGTTGCATGATTATTACCTATAGCCACTTTTCAAGTGATATTTCAACTTTTCAATCATTGGGGGCTGATATTGTATTGTGAACTGTAAAAGAATCAACTTCTCTACATAAGTGGTATTATTTTCTGGAAACATTCCTGGGCTACTTTACATTGTGAGGAGTTTAGTTTTCCTTGAGACACTTGGAGGTGTTCTTCACATGTCAGCAACACCTGCGTCAGCAAAAACCCTTATGGAGACTCATTCTCAGTATCTACACATTCCAGTCAAAGAATTATAATACTGCCTTTACAAGTTGACAGTGCTGATTTTATCACAAAAGAATTAAAGTGATTTAAACATAACAGTTTTTGGTCTGCAATATCTATTGTGCCAGTATTTTAAACTGCACTTTAATATGTCAAGGTAGTAACTGCATTTGGTTAAATAAAGACAAGATGAATAGACAATCTGTTCTGCAGCTGGTGGCAACAATGCATAAAAAAGGTTTAGGTGAGATTGAAATGATGTTTAAAGTTTGTAATTAGTAGCAGATTGCAGAATGACTGCTCAGTGTTTCAATTTATATCAAATGTTCCCTCCCTTTTTTAAAGAGGTGATGGACTTTCCTGTTTCTCTATTTCCGAAGTGGACTCTGTCGGCTATTAGCAGTGTTGTTTACATGTGTTAAATACTATAAAAATGTGAAAGTAACTAATTAAACTCAAGTACAGACCAGGGGCAAAGGCCAGAAATGTTTAAGTGGGTGGGCCTACATAAAACGGTGGGCACAAATTTCCAACAGAAAATATAACGCAGCACAAAGTTTCAAAACTGAAAATAACAAAACAGCCCATATACATCTCTGAAAAAAACAAACAATAAAATGCCTATTTTCTGTCTTGTATAATGACAAATGTATGTAGTCACCTATAACACTTTACAATAAGTTTAATTTGTTAACGTTAACATAAACTAACAATATACTTCTACACAATACTTCTAATGCATTGATTAACATTAATGTTAATTTAACATTTACTAATACATATGTAAAATTAAAAGTTGTATCTGTTAACATTAGTAACA